TTACTTACTTACTTAACTTAACTTAACTTAACTTACTTACTTACTTACGTACGTTACGTACGTACGTACTACTACTACGTACGTACGACGAGAGAGAGAGAGAGAGAGAGAGAGAGAGAGAGAGAGAGGTAGGGTGAGGTCATGTGGGTCCCATGTGGGCCCCACACCTACTATAGACCGTGGAGGTCTTCCAAGTGGGCCCCCACTCCCCAAATAATTTTAAAATTAATAAACTAATTTAAAAAATCCATTTAGCATTTTTAAAATTGCTCTGCACATTTATAAAATCCTGAAAAATTAGTTTTTAGCTATCTAAAAATTCTTTTTGAGAAAATAAAATATACAGAGCATTTTGAAAATTCATTTTAATGTTCCATAACTCAAATAAAATATATGTAAATATAATTTAATGGGAATTGGATCCAATGGGTTAAGGATCATGCGAATTCATTGAAGCACTCCTCTATAATGGCAACAGTGAATCACAATCATTTTCTCAAATCGACCGAACGTAACCCATGATGCACAACCCATAGCAGGACTTTATGATTGATCTATCAAAGTCAACCAATAAATGAAGAGAATATGGTTCTAGTCAATGGATTATAGGTTCTTCCCTGAGGACAAGTCCAGATCCCATAGGACCTTCTTGCACTTTCGCAATGGTGCATGGGGGTCATCTCTTCAAAACATGTACACGACATTCCCCAACTGGTTGCTTCCTAGGACGACTATTTAGTGAATATGCTATGTGATGGTATGATGATGAGTTTGGCCCTTGTCCCTTCTGGCTAGCCACCCTGGGCATAGGGGTCAGACAGCCCCTTGGCCAACCACCCTGAGCATCTCTCTGGTCTCATCAAGGGATGACCCTACAAATTCTACTTGGTAGTGCCATATGCCCAAGGCTAAAGGGTTTTAAACGTCAACCTTGGCCTAGCTCGTTGAAACCTAAGTGAGTCATGACATAAAAATGCCTCCTTTGGTATATATTAGAAGTTTTTACATGTTATCGTAGGGCCTTTAAATGATCACATGACCCCAACAATATGGAAGTTGATTCCTTGTTCTAGACCAAAGATCATGTTCTAGAGACTGTCATTTCCTTGTGTAGGGTCTAGTTTTGGTGTAATGAGCTATACCGAAATGTGTGTGGCCACAGCTAAATCAATTTTTTTTAATAGTTTGAGGATCCAAAAATGTTCTTAAACATATGTAAATCTCATTAAAAAAAAAAAGAATTTCGAGCTCATAAAATGCTTAAAATCAAGGGATCTACCATCATCGAATTTGCCGTTCCTATTAGATTTTGTGCCCTTTTTGGCAATTGAGAATTGTTGGGTCTCTAAGTCCTTTTAATCGATCTACCATCTATCAAATTTGCCATTTTGATAAGATTTTTTGCCCTTTGCGGCAACTAAGAATTGTTGGGTCTCTGAGAGTCCTTTTTTTTATTTTATATTTTTTTAGGAGATTGATCTTGAAGGGTTAAAAAATGATTTCCTCGTGTTTTGGGTCCTCAGACATGGGTTGTGGCTGTGTTAGTTTGTCATTAGCTGAGGCTGCATAATACATTTTTCATATGCATGCATATTTGGTTTTGCATTTGTGTATGCCGGCCCCAAGCACAGATAAAGGAGGGTTGTGTTCTGTAGGGCAGCCAGTGTAAAACTTTGCCACTTCTTTTCATGAATTCTGCACCTATAAATGGTGGAACGTGATTCATGTAGCCGACCCCAAATAGCTGGAATAAGGCTCGGATGATGATAAAAAGGCCGTAACCCGGTGCTGGTCCCGCCTACATAGGGTCCTGGATGATGATGTATATAAAAATAATATCTAATTGTTACACATTTTATACTTGTATAATTTTTTTTTTTTAATTGTTATATATGTGTGAGTGCATGTGCGTACTTGAGTGCGTGCATGTGTCTTTGTGTCTGTGTTTGTGCATGCAGGCTTGTTTGTTTCTTTTATAAAATTTCGCACACCTTTAAGGGTTTGTGAAGCACTGTTCAAATCTAGTGGCATGTGGTTGAATCGTTGTAAAGAGGTCAAAAGCAACATCACTCTTTTTAGTCACGAGACAAGTACCTTTGAGGAGCCTATATTGATGCTAACTGCCTGGTGATCTGTACTGTATTATGTTCTTTCCTGTTGTATTCTGCAGCTTAGTTAACTAAATAGTGTAGAAAATTAGACATTGTTTTGATACTGACGAAGAACTCTCCATGGGCATGCATAACTCCATGGGCATCAGACAGGACTTCTTGGAGTTGGTCATGAGACAGGACTTCTTGGACTTCTTTATATTACTCTGTTTCTCTAAGGATTGTGTAGTTCACCTGTAAGAATGGGTCATGAGACAGGACTTGAGGCTCGCTCAAGTCTTACCAGAGCCTTGTTAAATCTTCATAAAACTTGTTTGTAATGCTCAGCAATAGTTCATGTTTGTAACTCAGGAGGTGCCAAAAGTTGTTGACTAGGTTGAGTTATGCATCCTAACTTGAGTTTTTGGGCAATACTGGTTTCCTCTACAATTTTTGGGTCCCCACACATTGTGGAGTTGGATTCATTTGTGGAGTTGGATTCACTATTACAGATGCCTCCTTTGTTCTGAATCACACTTCCTTGTTCCATTTGTGTGCACTTTCGTATGTCCCAATCACCTTTCACATGGAATGATGATTGTTGTTGTAATACAAGATGCTCAAAATCCTCAGTAACTCATTTGTAATATCGTATCCTACTCCCATACAATGTTGGGTGTCTCAGGTGGAGCCATATATTAAGAGAAAATTATCATGTTTTGAGTTGTCTTTAGGAAATATTTTATGATTAAAATTTGTAGAGTTCAAAGAAGTTCCTATGTGGGGTCTCAAATGCTTTAAGTTCCATCAATATCCATCCAGAGCTTCTCATCAGTGTTAGCCTGAGATACACAGAGGTGCAATGTTCTTAGGTAACCAAAAATGTTTTGTTCAAAATACCAAAAACTGGCATAAGGCACGTTCATACCAAGGTATTCATACTTATTAGAGTTTTTCAGTACCCACTTATTATTCTTCATATCCTTGAATTGCAAAAAATTAGAAGCAAGCCTAGGGATTTGGAGTCCAAGTTACCAAATTTGAACAAGAGTCATCACACTTGGTAGTGGAGCAGTCAACCCTGTCGGCTCCAATACCTGAAGTAGCTTCGAAAGGACATAATTCTATAGTTGTTCATGAGGCTGCATCAGCATGATGCTAATGTGCAACATATGTGATAGGTTACTGTTATGGTTGCAGTTTTGGTAAACTTTTCTTAAGTTTCTGATTAGGACTTAGGTTTTTCTCCATGGTTGGGTTCTCTTACTTCCAAATATGGCAATTCCCATGTACGTTTTTGACATTTTTATTTAAAATTTATTCTCTATGTTCCCCCTGATGCTTCTTTCTCTCTACTCTGGCTGCTTTTCTTTTTGTTTTTATCTCACTTGTGTTTTCTCTCTCTTTTGTCTCCTTCTGGTTGTTTGTTTACCTCCTCTTTTGATTTACTAATCTGTCTTTTGCATAGTTGGCCTTGCATCTTCCACATCTGAGCTTGCCTGCGGCATATGTGTCATACACTTAATTAAGCATGTGTTAAAAATGATTTCATGCTATGTGAATTCCCAATTGGTTAATACAGTCACAAGTATATGGCATGGAATTGCATACTTGCCCTTGTCAGAAAATTTTGCAACCATGATGTTGAGTTTTTGTTGTGTATACTTTTTCAAAGAATAGTTGATAGCACGGTATTGACAGTGTTTTAAACAGGTTATTAGCTCATTTCTTGAAGAGAAGCCAAAGAAGAGAAAAATATCTGATGAAGTATGTTATTGACTTCTATTCTTGAGTATCTTTTTCCAATTCTTTGCTGAATTATTTGTTCTTGTTAAGTTTTACATCTGCTTCTCTTTCCATTGTGGGAAATTCCTTTTTGTTAGATTTGCTTGTCACCTTTGCCTTTTACATGCGACCTTGGCTTTGTTGGATTTGTTTTTCCAGGATATTCACACTGGTCCTGATGCGAAGAAATTGAAATTTATCGTTGATGATGACGATGAATTTGACGATGACTGTGGAGATTTTGATGCTGATGAATCGGATGAGGAAGGGAATGATTTATTTGACACTGTTTGTGCCATCTGTGACAATGGTGGTGAACTTTTGTGGTGAACATTCCTCTCGTTTGATTTTTTTTATTTTTATTTTTATTAATATTTTTGAGTTTTGTGCGATTTGTACAAGAAAGTAATGTTCATTTTTTTTGTACAAGAAAGTAACGTTTTGATGTATTATATGACATAAGCAAGTATTATCTCCAGTTCGAAGAAGAGAGCCGGTCTTCTTGAAAAATAAAGCACAGTATAGCCCAATAGAACTGAGTTATATCTGTTACTGTTTATAGAAAGAGGGAAGTGCAATGCAAATATTCTGACCTATACAAGAGTGTCAGAATTAGTTCATAAAGCAATTAATCGCACTTGGGGTTTGCATATTTGGACAAAGTTAACATTATAATGCACGTTGTGTTTCTTGACTTCCTTTTTATTACTTCTTTTGTTTGTGTCATGCACACACACGCGTTCCAGTGAAGTCAAAACGATGTGCAACTTATGGGTTTTTTACAGTCACATCTGGAATAAATTTGAGGGCAATTGAAATGTAGCGGCGAACGAGATTAATTGATGGTGATGTAAACATGAGAAATTTCGCCATCGTGAAGACATCACGTGAGGAATATGATAGAGAGATCTACATACTCACTGAATGGGAATGCTTGAAGAATCAGAACATGTGGTTCTTGGGTGACTAGTAGTTGTGGAAAGTCATTTGTGGTACATCTATGTAATAGGTAGGGTATGGATGAGTCCTGTCAGGATGCAACTATGCAGGGCCAAGCTAGAGTTGGTTTCTAACGTAGGAATGCTTATTCAATATGAGGTTCCCCTTGTCCCTCCAAAGCTTGGTGAATAGATTAGTGGCTTCACTTAGTTTGTTGCTACAGTATTTGAGCCATTTGACTTGAAATCATAGCCATTTTGACTTGAAATCACGGCTGAGTACAGTTCTGTATTTTTTGGGTGAATTAATGGGGATTGGGGCTCCTGCCAATTTTCATTAATAGGATGAAAAAATTACAACCTCATTCATGTTACAACCCTTTCGTAGGGAACTATTGCTATATCTTCTGACAAAGACCAAGATAAAAAGTCCGGGGGGTGGGGGGGGGGGACTTTCATGCAATAGCTTCCGAAAGTGTTATAGCGCTCCTTGTTATGCAGTCAGCACCCGTATTAACTTCCGAAACACATGGGAAACGTCCATTGTTGACCAGCTGGGTTGGATAGTTTGAAGCGGCAATTAGCTGCTCTCCACGGGGATCTGTATCAGCAATGCATGGCTTCTACGAGAACTGGGGAATTTCTTTTCATTAGTAAGGGGAAGCAGTTCATTTCAATGGCAAGGTCAATCCCTATCTCCAACGCTTTGCATTCTGTCACATTGTTTGACACAGGACCTAGTGGTGATGCAAATGAAGCTATGACTTCCCCATTACTATCTCTGAGGATACGTACACAACCTGCAGCCCCTGAGTTTTGAAAAGAGGAGCCGTTGATGTTAAGCTTGAATGAGCCGTGAGGGGGGAGGAAGAGTATGTGTTTCGCAAACTAGGATGGATTTCCTGGGTCATTAGGCACTCTAATTGTATTTCCAGATTTTGTGTCACGTTCTTTTTAGAGCCGTGGGAAGTCCATTCCTTGGCTGCAGCAAGTGATCCAACGAATTGGGTGATATAGCCCAACAGTTATGACCTACTTGATTTTTTCCATTCAAAATGCAGGCATTTTGTTAAGTCCTTATGAGCCAGATTGTAGCAGAGAAGAGGGAGATCCATACATTCTTAGACCGACCGACCTAAAATCGGAACTTAATCCATATTGTGAACATCTGGGGAATGGATTAATCCAGAGGCATTTGCTTGCCACATCTCCACGTAATAGATTGCCACAAGACCTCGAAAAAGAGCACTGAGTAAAGTCATGTACTGACGGCAATATAATAGGAATTTAAGTGTTGGATGTGTCAGGCCAGGCCATTTATTGACTGGGCTCAGTAAGATGGCAAATCTTTCTTTGGACGATGTGATTTGGTTGACTCAGGCACACCCAGCCTTACATGTTCTTTATTGAGACAATAGTCATTTCGAACCTACTTGATTGGTCTCATGGAGGTTTTCAAGCTTTCAAACATTTTATATATTTTTTTTTATTGGCATAAGCACTGTTCAAAAAGGTGTTGGCGGCCACCTAGGCGGTTTGGGCTCTGGGCTGCCTAGGCGCTAAGGCAGCATGTGTTGTCTTTTATTTGAGTTGGATCCCCACACTTCCCCCAAATTATTTTATATACTACATAATAATAATTACAAATTAATACTATTTTTTTGGTTTTTCAATAAATTAATTATTATCACATGAAAAAAGTATTTTCGATAAATTAATAATTACAAATTAATATTATCTTTTGGTTTACCAATAAATTAATAATTATTGGTACATACAAAAGGCATTTTTGATAAATTGATAATTACGAATTAATACTGTCTTTTGGTTTACCAACAAATTAATAATGACTGTCACATGCAAAAAGCATTATCGATAAATTAATAATTACGAATTAGCTATTTTTTGGTTTACTAAGGAATCAATTACCGTCACTTGCAAAAAACATTTTTGATAAATTAATAGTTACGAATTAATACTATATTTTGGTTTACCAATAAATTAACAATTATTGTCGCATGCATAAAGAATTTTCGATAAACTAATAATTACGAAATAATACTATCTTTTGGTTTACCAATAAATTAATAATTACTATCACATGTAAAAAGCATATTCGATAAATTAATAATTATGTATTAATACTATCTTTTGGTTTACCAATAAATTAATTTTTACAGTCACATGCAAAAAGCATTTTCGATAAACTGATAATTTCGAATTAATACTATATTTTGGTTTACCAATAATTACTATCACATGCAAAAAGTATTTTCGATAAACTAAGAATTACAAATTAATTACTGTTATATGCATAAAGAATTTTCGATAAATTAATAATTACAAATTAATACTATTGTTTAGTTTATCAATAAATTAACAATTATTGTTACATGTAAAGTATTTTCAATAAATTAATAATTACGAAGTAATATTATTTTTCTGGTTTACCAAGAAATTGATAATTACTGTCAGATGCAAAATGTATTTTCGATAAATTAATATTAATACTTGCCAATCATTTATTAATTATGAATTAATAAGTTAGTAATTACGTATTAATTATCATATTTTCAAGGCAGCGCCTAGGTGCCTGCCTTTTACACCGCCCAGGCGAGCGCCTAGCAAAAGTCCTCCTAGGCGTCCGCCTAACGGTCGTGTGGCCGACTTTTTGCCCATTGGTTATAAGTGTAGAATACAATTAGAGGTCGCTTCATTTTTGAACTAGGGAATCTCATTGGTTATTCTTAATCGTAGTCTTCGTTCTCAACGGTACCTATTGCAATTGTCAATGCCAGTGATCCAGAATTCCGTAAGGTACTTTTTAACCATGTAACTGTAGCATACGCCTTTAAGTATGACAATCCTATTACGTTTATAATGCTCGAAGGTCATGATATCGAAATATAGTTACCCAATACAATTCTGAAACTGAATCGCATTAGGAAATGGAATCGAAGACTCGTCACCAGCTGGAAGATTCCTATTTCTAGAATTGACGTCCATACAGGAGGAATCATAGGGGACGAGATTCCTATTTTTAAGAATCGGGGTTCCACTAAAATGGAATCAATAACCCTACATAGATGGAACAAGATTCGTAGCTCGTTGGAATCAAGCTACCGAACAAGTTGGAATCGACCTATATGGAGTTGAGAGTTCGACATCTTTGGAGTCGAAAGGAACCGAGAGGGAAACAATACATGTTTCAATGCCATTCATAGATGGACATGTCATACATATACTTTGTGTTATATTATTTCTAACATATTGGAGTTGCAATCTCCCCATTGAATCAATACAATGTGTATTTAAATAATTAAGTAGAGAACATGGACCGCCACTTTAGTTTCTATTGGTCATTACATTGCAAAAGGGATGACTACATCTTATAGCTTGAGATTGCATGTCTAGCTCGAATAGTTTGATGCCTCTAAAACTTCTAACATCACTTCTCAGAAAAATGCTAAACAAAAAGAGGAAGCGGTAGAACTTTGGTAAATATGGAAACCAGTTTCAATAAATGTACAATCGAGATTCACCAATTGTGGAATTGAGAATCAGTAAATACTAGAAAGGAGATTTTATATGTGTTGGAATCTAGATTTCAAGAATAAGGACTTGAGATTTGGAACTTCACATAAACGGGTTCTGTGAAGATTCCTTATTAGAATTGCCAAATCGGGATTCTAAATTGGAATCACGACCTTTGGTGAGAGATTCAGATAACTGTGATCAAGATACTTCGTGTACTTAAAGAGAGAACAAGACATCGATATAAGATGAAAATAAGAAAAAATAAAGTTCCTTTGTACTTAAAATCAAAATTGTTATGTGTTGCCCATAAGTAGGTAATAATGTGCTAGATTTTCACCCTACATTGTATTCTTGGGAATCTGGGGATGCGTCTGAGCGGGTTTTTCAATTAGGATCTCATTGGCATGCTTTTATATATTTTTGATTGGGCATCCATCATCAACTTTGAATAACAAAATTTTGTTTTGCCTGTCCTCTTTCGGGAATCATATATATGTGTCGATTTGTTTCATTGTTAGTGATATTCATCGATAACTACATACCCTTTGTAGCTGATCCATGAGTTGCTCGTCCTGCTTTTGAAGATATGACCCTTCTAATGCCAAGTACTGGGATTAGAAATGCCTGAAGAATTGAACTTTTAAGCACAAACAGTTTTAGTGTTATTCGCTTGGTTGAAGGCTGATATGGGATTTCATATTCTTCTTATTTGTTTCTTACTCTCAACCATATCTTTCTTGAGATATTGATTATGCATTATTCATTCTGCTTAAAATGTTGGATAGAATCCATTTTTTTGCATTGCAGGCAAATGAGTATATTCACACACATCTTTGGCTTGATTTGGTGTAATGCATTTTTTAGCTTCCTAGATTTTTTGCGGTGGTAGTTTCTAAATGGGCCTTTTTTCCTTCATGATTCCTTGGTTTCATAAATGGCACCTACAAGATGAGGTACCGTGTATGTTGTTTGCAGACGACATAGTTTTGATCGATAAGACCTGGAGCCGCGTCAATATACCGGACTAACACGGAGCATATGGAATGCAAGTATTGTAAAAATAGGAATACATACGACGAAGTAGTTAGGATTAATGGCTAAGAATTACAAAAGAGTGCACTTTTGATATTCTTGATCGGTTGTCTAGGAAAATGGAGAGATTGAGGAAATGTCGGCATATAAAATTAGAGCTGGGTGGGTGAGGTAGAGATGTGCAACCAGAGTTTTACGTGATCATTGCATACCGATGAAGCTGAAGGTGAAGTTCTATAGGATAATTATGAGACTAGCTTTGCTTTATGGGGCGGAATATTGGGCGGTCAAGAAACAACATATCTATAGGATGAGTGTATCTGAGATAAGGATATTGAGATGGATGTCTGGCAAGACAAGAATGGAAAGAATTTGGAATGAATACATTAGGGAGAACTTAAGTGTGGCTCCAGTTGACGATAAAATATTAGAATGTAGACTTAGGTGGGTTGGCTATATGCAGCCTAGACCCAGTACAATACTTATTAGGAGATGCAAGTTGTTCAAGTGCAAGACCCAAAAAAGTAAAGGGTAGGCTCAAAAGGACATGGTTGGAAGTAGTGAGAAAAAATATGGTGACTTATGTACTGAAGGTATTGCCCTTAATAGAGCAGAAAGACAAACCAGGATTCGTGGAGCCAACCCCAAATAGTTGAAAAACGCCCTGATGATGATGATGATTCCTTGGGTTATGTGCAAAGGCAGGGTAGTTCACTGACAGGGTCCAACTGCATTTGGAGATTGCTTTTCGTGAGTTTCAGCTTCTTGGAGAGCCATTGGTGGGCCACAAGGTTTGCTGTTTAGAATTGACTGGAGATTGTTTCCTGAATTTCAACACCTCATATCGTCTTCTTATTGTATGTCTTCTTAATGTACAGTTTATGGTGTTATATGAAAATGGAAATGAGAGAAACCTCTTCTAGGTCCTCTTTTGGCATCTCCCTTTGTTTTCTTTAATGATGCTCACAAGTCACAACCATTAGCAAAAGTATATAGCTTCATCTCATAGGTTCATCTACAGCTGATGATCTCCTCTAAAAGGGTGAAGTCGGAGGGTTACAGAATGCTTTGCTTCTAAACTTGCTCCACAAATTTGATCAGCATGGCTGAGTAAAACCCTCTTTGAGATTTTTAGTGCCTAGGACTGAATTTTCAGGGGCCAAGAAGGCTTGGTGTTTAGATTACGGGGAAAAACTACATTAAGGGAACATTGTGATGAGTGGATTTGGCGTTGGTGTCTTTATGGAGGCCTCTTCTTTGGATTTTGTATTCTTGTGTTACATGTGTGTAACCTTAGGCACGATGTTTCCGAGTATAGGAAAGCTGAGTTTGGTCTCAAATACGGCATATGGATTATTTTAAGGGATATGTTCTTCAAATACTATACAAGGAGATAATTTGAGCTATTGAGCAACCAGTTTGACTATGATGTTTTGAGCATGAGGATCATAACAATGGATGGGTTGTTGCTTTAAACACAGCCAATAAGTGCTCATTTTGTATATTCTGGATAATACTCTTTTCATATGGCAAGACACATAGAATGAAATTTATAAACCCCAAAAAAGTAAAATCCTCATAATGCCTTTTCTTGGGAAAGTAATGCAAACTTGAACATTTTATAAAGATAGCTGAAATATCACCCTCTTGGTTTTACTTGTCCAGGAAATACCCATTGGGTGGATTGTTTGGGGCTTTGTGGCTCTCGATCAATTACAGAGGATGGTGACCTTTGATGAGCGTGTTGGAAATAGGGCTGGCAGTGGGCTGAGTGATCCAGCTCAGCGCTCCTAAGCTCTAGGTACAGGCTGGGGAGTCATCACCCTGCCTGGCCTGGGCCAGGAGTTATTGGCGTGGCCCCGACCGGCCCAGCCTAGGAAAAATTAAATGAAGGTTCACATGGCGCCTTTTCTACGGGTTTGTGCTGGGGCCTACCTGGCCCGAGCCCACCTCATTGCCAGTGATTTGGTAGGTTCTGTTTTGAATAACAACCATCTGACAATGTTATGAAGCTTGAGCACTAGCCTTGTGAAGAAAGCAATGTATGGAAATTTTGGTGAACATTTGATCTTTGATAGGGGAGCTTTCTGCAGAAACATGTATGAAATATAGGTTTCTTGGGGTCGCTGATTGATAAAATCGAATAACAAAAACAATGCAAACATGCAGCAGACAGGAAAAACCTTGTGCAGTGATCTTTACTCGGGACGAAATAAGAAAGTTTTCAAGATAACCCCTATTGCTGATGAACTTGTACAAGAGCAGAATCATCCCCAATATAATGCTGAGCCTGTTGTAGTTGTCAAAGGAATTAAGCTGGTTATTCGATGGCAACATGCTGTCTGACACTTTAGACACGACTCCTAAAAAATAGCCATATTAGACACCACACATCTGTACAATGTGGGCATCTCGATGTGTTTAGACCTTGAATATTCATTTACTTGAGTATAAATTATTTTTTGATTGTATATATTTCAATATAAAGTATGGTTAATATAAATACAGACTTGTAAAAAATCTTCATAAAAAAAAAATAAATACAGACTTGTAAAAAATGGTGACATCTACATCTGGATTCTAGACACGCATGTCTAAAATTTGACTGGTGTATCCATTCTTCATGTATGTCCCTGGGCTGGCACTTGGCAGGACACGTTTCGGGTGTATGCATCTTACTTCTGATGGGCAATGAGCATGACCAAATAAAATAATGATGCTAAGGCCCATTTGGCATTCAGATGTGAACTGATTGATTGTTTTGTTATGTTATATATATGTTTGATGTTTACTGGATTCGTGTGTAGCTGCTTGGAGTACTTTTCCTTTCACGTTCTTGATCTCTCTTGATGATACTATTTGTGCATGGCCATCTCACCTTTTTCTCCTTTGTTTTTGATATAGTTGTGAAGGGCCGTGCATGAGGTCTTTCCATGCAACTAATGATGCTGGTGCTGAATCATATTGTAAAAGTCTTGGCATGACTGATGCTCAAGTGAAAGTACGCATTTGTATACTCTTTCTTAAATCATTTTTCTCTAGCATGGCTTTGACCTAAGAGTCCCTTTAGTGCTTATTTTCTTTTCTCTCTCTCTTTTGAAAATTTATTTTCTGGTCTTTGAATCTTATCATTTTATCTATTTGTTATGTGGCAGGCAATTCAGAATTTTTTCTGTAAGAATTGTCAGTACAAACGACATCAGTGCTTTGCTTGTGGAGCCTTGGGTTCTTCAGATAAATCTTCTGGCGCTGAGGTTTGACATTTATTTTGAAATTGGCGAGGCCTATCTTATAGTTACTTTAACTAATCCTTTTGATTGGAGGACTGGGGCATAAAAATCCTACTATCAAGATTTACTAAAAACTACTGGAATCGATACGTTCTTTGACACCAAACTGGGAGTAGCTATTTCTATTGGATTACCTATTGTGGTTATCTGACAAATATGAGAGGAGAGAAAAAGGGAACATTTACAATATAATAAATTATGGAGGTTCCTCATCATATCTAACATAGAGATCCAATCAACAAAACGATCCAAAGATGCGTTATGAACATGTGATTGTACAGTTTTTGTAATGTACTTAGTTGGGGGAAGTTTGGAGAATAACTTGATCATTTTCCGATACAGAATTTCTACTTATTGTGGTTAGTAGATGTCCTTTGAAAATTTCAGTAGTCTGACACCATTTATCCAGCATTTGCAAATGACTTCGTCCAAACGTGTGGACAGCTTTTGTGTTGTGCATGTGCAAGTAGCCTGGTCTCTTGTTAGTCTGTGCTTGTGCTCTAGGGGTTTGGTCCTTGTTGAGAAATTGGGAAGAAGAAGAATGCTGAAAGAATATGCATATATACTTGAAGGGTGGCATATCATTTGATTGTAGTGCACTGGTGACATGAAGTTGGAACCCTTCCCTGTTTACTTTTATGGTTGAATTGCAAACGTCTTGACTTCAATTTTAGGTTGTTTTCTTATGTTTATCTTTATACACACACACACATGTATATACATGTCTGTGTGTGAGCGCATGCTGCGTGCGTTTGTTTTGATTGACTTTAAATGTGCAGTGTGTGTTTTGACTGATTTTAAATCCAGTTGATTGGAGTTGTTTCCTTGGATTTCTTATTGTCTCCTTGTTTCAGGTCATTGCTTGTGTGTCAGCCACATGTGGTCGGCACTATCATCCGGGGTGTGTGGCAAAATTACTTTTTCCAAAAGATGAAGCCAAGGCTGATGATCTTCAAAAGCGTATCATTGGTGGCGAGTCATTCACTTGCCCAATTCACAGATGCTTACTCTGTAAACAGGTTGAAAATAAAGAGGAGCTCGACCTGCAATTTGCCATTTGTAGACGATGTCCCAAAGCATATCATAGGAAGTGCTTGCCCAGGTTATGGACGTTCCTCTGTAGTGTTCTGTACTTGTCTTGTCTTGCTAAAAGCATCCTTCCCCCTCCCCCAGAACTGATCTCAGTTGTGCTTTTAAATCAGGAGGATTGCGTTTGAGGAGTTGGAAGATGAACCACAAAGAGCTTGGGATGATTTAATTCCAAATCGGATATTGATTTACTGCCTGTAAGTTAACAGTTAATTATTCTTTTGAATTTTAGTTCTTATGTTTTTTTTTTAGGGAAAATATCAATAATATTGTTGAACAATTGAAAGAGAATTACCGAGATGGTTAAATCAAGCACTTTACTTATAGAGTAGTTACTGTATAAGAAGCCTTTCTCTTAAGTGCCTCCTCAACTGTTTTATTAGATAATGTCACACTGTCCCTGTTCGGGTTTTAGAACCTAGGATAAGTGAAGGCATTTTAGTAATTTGGCCTGACTTATGTGCCTTGAGCCAAATGAAGAAACTAGATTCACTTGTTGAGGTTTGATCCTAGAATGTCTTTGCATGAAAGTCCCTTTTTTTGAATTTGTAATTGGTAAGTGGTACGGGTAAATTTTTCCTTAAGCTTGATTAAGTGACCTGAGCCAAATGACTGAACCATAGTTATCAGCAGTGCCCCAACAGGGTGGCGCTCACACTCCGAAATCCAGCTCTGGTGTTCCATGACCACGATCTCGACCGGAACTCGATTTAATTTTTTCGGGATCTCATTCCCAATTATGGGGTACTTGATCCTATGAACAAAGGATCTCGATCCCACCATCGCACGGTGCACGTTCCTCAAGATTGTAATTCCATTCTTGAACAAATAAGATCCTCGATCCCTGAATTTTAGGGGCACGATCCTTGTGTTCACGGAACTCCATCCTTTTAAAGATGTTACGTAGATTTTTTTTGGAATTTTGACTAAACTTATTTTACCAATTTATAACTTTCTAAAAGAAACTTCGTAAATAAATTTGACTTTTAATCTAAAAGAATTATATTTTAAGCCAAATTTTCATGTAGTATTTGGATTATCTATTTAAAAACATTATTAAATGACGAATACAATGGGAACAAAGTGTTAGAAGGAACTGTTGGTGCAAGTGACGGTGGAGGTCATAGACACGTTCGTAGGATTAGGATGTTAGAAGTGAAATAATCTTTGAAAAGGATGTAGACAGGAAAGGATTTAGGACCAGATGGTATCCCAATAGAGGTTTGGAAGTGTATTGGGGAAATTGGCATTGACTAGCTGACGAAGTTGTTCAACAAGGTGTTGAGAACAAAGAAAATGGCTGATGAATGGAGGAATAGTACTGTGGTACCTATTTACAAGAATAAAGAAGACATACAGAATTGTGTAAACTATCAAGGGATCAAGCTTATGAGCCATACTATGAAGCAGGAAGGTCAACAATGGAAGTTTAGGATGAAGGGAAAAGACCTCCACATGGTCTTTATTGCTTTAGAGAAAGCTTATGATAGAGTACATTGAGATTTAATTTGGCGGGTGTTGGAATAGAAAGGCGTCTCTAGACACTACATGAACTTGGTGGGAGATATGTATGATGGAGCGCTAACTAGTGTACGAATAACTAGTGGAGAGACGAGTGAGTTTTCAATGACAATAGGTTATATCAAGGGTTAGCATTGAGCCCATACCTCTTTGTCTTAGTTATGGACTACTTAACTAGGCACATACAGGATGAGGTACCGTGGTGCATGTTGTTCGCATATGACATAGTTTTAATTGGCTAGACCCGAAACAGCGTCAACACAAAGTTAGAACTTTGGAGGGATGCTCTAGAATCCAAAGGTTTTAAAATTAGTCGGGCTAATAGTATATAGAGTGCAAGTTTTGAGAATAATAGGAGTAGAGAGGAGGAAATAGTTAAGATTGCCGGTCAGGAAGTACAAAAAAGACCGGACTTTGGTCGATAATCCAGGAAATGGAGAGATCAAGGAAGATGTTACACACAGAATTAGAGCTGGGTGGGCGAAGTGGAGATCTGCAATTGAAATTTTATATGATCACTGTATACGAATGAAACTGAAGGGCAAGTTCTATAGAGCAACGGTGAGACCAGTTTTGCTCTATGGGGCAAAATGTTGGGTGGACAAAAAACAATATACCCATAGAATGAGTGTAGTGGAGATGAAAATGTTGAGATGGATGCGTGGCAAGACAAGAAGGGATAAAATTTGAAATGAATCTATTCGAGAGAATATAGGCGTAACACCAATAAACGACAAAATGACATAGAGTAGACTTAGGTGGGCTGGCCTTGTGTGGCGTCGGCCAAGTACAACACTTGTTAGGAGGTGCGCATTAGTTCAAGTGGAAGCACTGAAAAGGGCAAGTGGTAGGCTCAAAAGGACATGCTTGGACGTAGTCTCACAAGATATTGGGATTTATGGCCTCACTGAGGCTATGACTTTTAATAAAGCAGAATGGAGAGCCAGGATTTATGTAGCTGACCCCAATTAATTGGGAAAAAGCTAAAATGATGATGATTTCCAACCCAAAATAACAGTAATGCATTTCCCAAATTTCGTCTGGACCTAGCTAAATAGGAGCAATTCATGCCTAGGTTGCATCCAAATAGTACCCAAACATCAACATTCCATTTTCAGGTAATATATTACGCCGGTAATGTGTTACGCTAGTCATTGTAATGTATTACGCTAGTTATTTGTTTCACAGGCAATATATTTCCATGATATACAAACGGCCAACGTGACACTCGTATGCGTATCATGTTTGAGATGTTGAACAATACTAACATTAACCATGTCAAGAATATAATTGTATAAAGCATTGAAAGAATTTATTTCATATAAGATTAATTGAATTTAATTAATCCATGGACATCTAGGATTGGTTGTGCATTGATCTAGCCCCATGAGCCATTGCTACATAGGACAATGGTTTCTAGAATAATCCAAAACGAGATCTTGTTTATATTGGAATGGGCTGCTGTGCTTAGTGGGAGCATGAGTCCATGTGTAGAGTTGGGTTCTTGATACAAGTGGAGGTCTGCGATTGGAGCACGGACAAATCATGCACGGAACGTGATCCATCCTTGAATGGAGCTCGACCCTTTCCAACTAGGAACACGGTCATTCTTATATAGGTGTGTGAATCGACTTCAAATGGGATCTCGTTCCTGTTGTGGCTGGGAGTGCGACCCCATTGTACATGGACTGCGGGCCCGTTAAGTAAGGATCTAGATCCCATTGTATTGGGAACGCGCTCCCTCTTCATATGGGACCTCGATCTACAACTTTTACCTTGACCGGAACTCACTCTAGAGCATTGGGCAGCCATCGATCCGACACTCCCACTCTCGGAATTGAAGCCATTCTCACTCCCGCTCCTTGTAACTATGGACTGAACTACACATGCTTGTTCAGGGTTCATGACCTGGATGTTTTTCTAGACTTGGATGTTTTCTTTTTTTTCTTCTTCATTAAAATCTTTTATTCCAGGTTTGTCACACTAAAGAAATTGGGGTAGTTTCGTATTGGCTCTAACTAGGTTGGAGCCTAGTTGCGAATGTTCTTCGTGCTTTAGAAGTTCTGACCTTATTCATTAGATCTCTTCTCCTGGGTTTGTAACACTCACAAGGAGGAGTAGTTCTGTCATTTGGCTTGGATAGAATAAAATGATGAAACAACCAAGTGAAATGACAAAGATACTTCCTCTTCTTAGAGTTCCAAACCCAGAACAAGAGATTTTAATTAAGGAAAATTGTTTCATGCGGGCTGGATCGCATTTCTACAATATGTGATCCATAGGTATAAAGCATCCATCTTAAAGATGGATGCAAATAGGTAGTCCATCGAAAAACAAGTGTAACTAATGGTCCAAATGTTTTCTTAATAAACAAGTGTAACTAACGGTCTCAATGTTTTCTTAATATAATTATTATTTCTAGTTTTCAAATTCTTTTTTTTTTCATATTCATGATCTTCATGTTAAAGATTATATATTCTCTAAAAACTAGTTATTGCCAAGCCCGCATTTCTACAATATGCGGGCTGGCTACATAGAAACTGTGTCCTTTAATTACACATTCCAGGATCGCCAGCTTGAACAAACAGGGTAGTTTTGACATTTGGCTTGGGCCACTTAAATCAGGCTAAATAATGAAAATGATCCCCTTGTTCAAGGTTCCAAACCTAGAATTGGGGAAGTGAATATTTTTTTACTAAGGGTTGCGGATATACCTGAGTGGAAGGATTTTTATAGGGTAACCACTTCATAGGTTTATTAGATGATTTAACCACTTTAGCTTCTTGATATGTTTTGACCATTTTACTGATATTCAATACTGCCTGAGCACCTGTTTTGTTGATTTTGAATTAAACATCTTGAACAGGAAGCATAGGATTGATGAGGATCTTGGTACTCCCGAAAGAAACCATATAAAATTTCCCGAGGATCCTGCAATGAAGAAAGTTCATGCTACCATACCTAAATCTGGCAAAGAAAAGGTTCTGAAAAAGAGAGACACAGTTTCTGAGGAATCTTCTGAAGATGAGAGGCCCACTTTCAAGGCTTCAAAACAGATTGCAAAGGAATATTCATCTAAAAAAGAAATCGATTCTTTGGAAAATGGGCAGCTAGTTTCTGCAATAAAAATTATTGATTTCACTAAGAAATTGCAGAAGACTGACACATATAAGAATGATAGCGTGAATCCGACCCTTGTGAAAGAGAAGTTGCCTATGCCAAGCATTGACAATGACCCCATGAGAGAAGAAAGGTCTGCTAAAACATTGCCAAATAAGGGATTGGAACAGGTTAAAGCCAAGTTAAAGGACACAACTCAAAGTAAACATGAGAAATCTGAGTCCTCTGAACCTATTGTGGACAAGGACATGCAAGAAAAGTATGCCACTTTCTGTGTTTTCTACTCTTTACTGTGAAATAGCTTTCAAGCATATTGGTCTTGTGGTTTTTGCTATTTGACTTCATATCTCGATGTTTTCCTCTATTGCATATGATTTGCCTAGCAAACTGGCAATTACTTCTGATTTATATTTTTGTGAGATACAAATATGTTTCTGACTAGTCGTCCATGGAAAACAGGATATTATCCTTGATTAAAAAATCCACGGATTCTTTGTCATTAAAAAAGGTAACTATGAGAAACCTTGGCCCTTCTACTCATGCATATTTCCCCAGAAATTTGGACAAGACTATTACTCAGGGGAAAGTTGAAGGTTCTGTTGAGGTATGCTCTCTATTGCTAGTGTTTGGTGAAACTTCAATGTTGGTTGCCATAAATGAGTGCAATGAAACTTCAATGTTGGTTGCCATAAATGAGTGCAATGATCTTAAAAACCCTGGAGACTCCACTGCATCAGCATCTGTCCTTTGAAATGGACAATGATGGAGAGTGTGGGGCACACCACTAGCATCGTATCTGGTTTTGGAGTATGCCATATCTAGTTTTCTACAATCATGTTGAGCTTGGGAGTTATGGTTTTTCCATAACCCTTAGGGTTGTACTATACTTTCCCTTTAATTTTGCGCTCTGTATCATGAACCTTTCGATCAATGTTCTGACTTCTTTGCTCAAATGTCTTCAGGCTGTCCGTGCAGCTCTGCAAAAGCTAGAGGAGGGTGGCAGCATTGAGGATGCAAAGGCTGTCTGTGAGCCTGAAATCCTCCGCCAAATAATGAAGTGGAAGGTGTTCCTCTGTCGTTTTTGGCTTGTTAATTTCCCTTTTTTAAGCATGAAAAACTAAACAAATTTTTTCAGGTCAATTTCCTCTGCATTTTATTGCTACCTGTTCTTTGGGTGTCTTATGTTGCACTTTATTCTGTTGAATTTGTTTTGTTTTGCAATTGCTAGTGATTTTAAGTACTTTTTCTTGGTCCTCTCCTAGATTGATGAACATGTTTAGGGGTTTGATTGCTTTGTTATGGTCATTTGGATTAAAAAAAGATTTGCTGCAAAATGTTGTGAAAGGAAACCTGATGCTCTGATAATTTTTGCTACTACGAATGAAAATGGTGCCAGTTGATGTTTCTCTGATGTCTTCTAAATTCTATATATAAGGTTATTATTATTATTATTATTATTTTTAATGTTAAATATTTGTTCGTTTCTGCAGAACAAGATGAAAGTCTACCTCTCACCGTTCTTGCACGGGAATCGTTATACATCCTTTGGGCGGCATTTCACTAACCGAGAAAAGCTTAAGAAGGTATCTAAGTGGTTACTCTTGTCGAGAGTTTTCTTTTCAATTATGAATAAAATATGATCTTGTGCACGATGATATGGTATGCATATGTACTAACATGCTTGAGGCATGTATGTACGAATTATACAAGCTATAGTATATTTTCTATTAATATGTCAGATAAGGTACTTGCATCTGTATCGTTATTTCCAGAAATGCAGTCGTTTTCCTACTCTCTATATCCACGTTTGTATATGTGTCCTTATCTGGGCATCTCAATCTGGATAGTTTGTTTTGAAATTTTTTAAAAATCTTTGTACTTTCTGCTAGAGTTACTCTTTGGATGCTTACTATGCATATATATTTTTGGGCAGATTGTTGAGGAGATGCACTGGTATGTGCAAGATAGCGATATGGTAAGAAATTTGTGACTATTTCTCTTTTTTTTACTATATGGACCTATCGCCTATGATTGCATGTTGTTCTGTAAGTTTGGACATGATTGTGGAACTAGCTACTTAAATTATTTACGGTAAGGAATTTCAATTGAGGACACCGTGACCTTGGGCATAGTTCTTTCCTATTAGTGAGGAATTGCAGATGAAGAAAATATATTCTCTCGCCTTCTTGTTAGTATTGCCATAGCTTAAAACACTTTCCTTTTTCTTTAAGCATAACTGTATATACTTAATGAGATCATGGTAAACTTACCCCATTGATGGAGTATATATTTGATGTCTGCTGACTGCGCTTCTTTGGAGTCCTGTGCATATTTGGTGCTTCAAATTTCAGTTTTGTTTTTGCTGGTCTGTGCCAACACTAGTGCTAGAATAAATCATTTTATTAATGGAAAATAAATTAATAGTGTTTCATATTTATGGAAATCACTTATGGTCTTTCATTATATCGATGTAACCTTCAGTTGATTGAAACATATTTACGTTCAAAGATACTCAGATGCTTATGAGCTTGCTTCATATTTTTGGTGGACCGTATCACGAGTAATATATAGTGATACTCCTATCAATGGCTTCTTACTGTTTTGCGGTCTCATCAGGTAGTTGATTTCTGTTGTGGTGCTAATGACTTCAGCATCTTGATGAAAGATAAGCTTGAGGAAACTGGGAAGAAGTGTTTTTTCAAGAATTATGATATCATTCAACCTAAGGTAACTTGTTTTATTTGTGAATACTTTGTATATACTCACATATTGCAAGTCATGGCCTTTTGGTTTTTGATAATTTCTTGGGATTACACATGTGACCAATATGACTTCCCTTTTCTCCTAGATATTGAGTATGAATTCAGTGTGTTTTTTAGTAAGTTAACTATTCATATTAATGAAATAAAAGAAGTACTGAGAAGAGTGTGTACAGATAGAGCATATACAAAAATTAGGCAAGCATGTTCTTTACAAATACCCACAAGGGCCGAAAAAAAAAGTTCTACATCAAGAAAGATAAAAGGAGTTGCAAGCTTAAAATTGCCTATAAACCCCAAAGACTGTTGAGGCTTGCGCCTTTCCTAGCTAGAGCATGGTCAGACATGATAGGCATCCCTAAAAGTGTGTCTCCACTAATTCTTAAGGTAATGGTGATGAAAGCTATTTCGTCGAAGATATGAACAAGTCTCCACGGGCAGGGAGCAGCACCGGTAGCTCAAGTTATTATATTTTTAGAGTCACCTTCTGCAACCAAGTCCGTGTTCGAGCTAGGGTCAAATCTTCGAATCCCTTAGAGCAAGGTCAAAGCCTCTGCAGTGGTAGAATCCGATGAGCCAATGGGTAAAGAGAAGGAAAGGAGGGTAGAACCTTCAGAATTTGTAAAGATGCCTCCAATACTGGAGGGGCCTGGGTTGCCCGGGGAGCTACCATTGAAATTGAGCTTGATATGCCCATCTTCAGGTGGCCTCCACAGAGAAGAACAAGTATCCTTTGGGGCCTGGAGGTTCAAGAGGTTATACCAGTTGTGGAAGAGGTTGGCAAAAATAACTTCTGAAAATACTGTGGTTCTTGGTCCAAAAGGAAACTAGGGTGCAATATTTGTCAAACAAGGTCGGAAAGGGGTTATTGGGCCCTTGAAAATGAGACTGTACCTTTCAAGCTGTATAGTCCACAAAATGGCCGTGCAGTTGATGCTTTCCTAGGAAGTAACTAGAGCTAGTCCAAGGGGTGTGGAGGCAGATTTAAAAAGGTTGGGGAATGGACTGAGGAGTAAGCCAATGCCAAATAAACATGTGGAGTACATGGGACCATAGTGCAGATGCTACTTTGCAATGAATTAAGAGATGAGCACTTGTCTCTTCGGTCTTCAAGCACATCGCACATCTATTGGGTAGGGGGAGTCCTCTTCGCTGGAGATGGTCAAGGGTGAGGGCTCTTTCATGGAGGGATGGAGACTCATCTGTGGAAGGTCCTACTTTGGACCCTTTCGGAATGGCCTTCCCAAAGCTTGGTTGATGTGGATCCTGTCCAACTTGGACAAGGTTGGCGGGATTTGTTGATTGGATCAGGTGTAGGATGCCTTTTGATTGGTAGGTCAATTAGATCATGCTTGGAGAAGGAAGATAAATTAGGGATGCTAAACCATAATTACCGGGAGCAGGAATGGCTCTAGTTCTGGTTCTGGGAGCGGGAGCGTCGGATCGATGGCTGTCCAAAGCTCCGATGCTCGGGGAGTGAGTTCTGGTCGGGGTAAAAGTTGCGGATCGAGATCCTATATGAAGAGGGAGTGCGTTCCCAATACCACAGGATCTAGATCCTTTCTTAACAGGTACGTGGTCCTTGTACAATGGGATCACGTTCCCATTTTTAATAGGATCGCGCTCCCATCCACAACGGGATCGAGAGCCCATTTAAATTTGAGTCACGCCCCTATATAAGAATGAACACGTTCCTATTTGGAAAGGATTGAGCTTCATTCAAGGATGGATCATGTTTCGTACATGATTGCCCGCGCCCCCATCCCAAAACTTCACTTGTATCAAGACCCCAATCCATTATACATGGATTCATGCTCCGACTAAACACGGCAGCCCGTTCCCATATAAACGCGATCTCGTTTTGGTTTGTTCTAAAAACCATTGTCCTATGTAGCAATGGCCCATGGGGCTAGATCCATGCACAACTAATCCTAGATGTCCATGGATTGATTGTATTCCATTAAGCTTGTATGAAATAAACTCTTTCAATGCTTTATATAATTATATTCTTGAAATGGTTAATGCTAGTATTGTTCAAAATCTCTTACATGATACACATATGGGCATCACGTTGGCCTTTTGTGTACTTATAATATTGCGTGTGAAACAAATTACTAGTGTAATAAATTATTGGCATAATATTACCTGAAAACGGAATGTTGTTGTTTGGGTACCATTTGGATGCAACCTGGGCTTGTATTGCTACTGTTTGGCTTTATTATTTAAGAAGTTTCTTTTAGGAAGTTATAAATTGGTAAAATAATTTTATTCAAAATTACAAAACAATTTGGGGTCACTTTCTTATAAGGATGGAGTTTTGTGAACACAGGGATTGCCCTCCTAAAATTTGGGGATTGAGGATCCTATTTGTTTGGGAATAGGATCTAAAATTTTCTGGAACATGCACCGTTTGATGGTGGGATCGAGATCCTTTGTTGATAGGATCGAGTACCCTATAATTGGGAGCGAGATCCTGAAAAAATTAAATCCAGTTCCGGTCGAGATCCCGGTCATGGAACGCCGGAGCTGCATTCCGGAACGGGAGTGCCATCCTGTTGGGGTGCTCCCGGTAACTATGTGCCAAACCATATTAAATATCTGACCAGTGATTAACTTTCAGAAAATAGAATCCCAAACCATATTAAATAAATACTTGAGGTACCTGTATATCAGATCTTGCAAAGCACAAACGCATCGCTTTCAAGGTGTGCTACCATGTACCGGTTAATTGCAACCCAAATACATTAAATTTCTTCTCACTTCATAAAATTTCATCAGTGCAGGATGAGCTTGTATTTAACTGCACAAGCTGCCAAAAGTAGAGCTAGTTTGTGAATAAGATTATCTCAATCAGATTTAGAAGTTGGCATCATGTCATTGATGATTAGTTTTGCGTGTTAATTTTGTATTGCAGAATGATTTTAATTTTGAAAGGAAAGATTGGATGAGTGTTAGCCTCAAGGATTTACCAAAAGGAGATCGTCTGGTAAGCATTTAATCTATGTGCATGTGTATCATGGATATCGCCATGCTTAAAAGCTGGCTGCTTGAGGTGTGGTGTATGGTTTTAATGTTAGTTTTGTATTTATTTGATTGAAATGACAGATTATGGGGCTCAATCCTCCATTTGGGGTCAATGCAGCTTTGGCAAACAAGTTCATTGATAAAGCTCTAGAATTCAAGCCAAAGCTCGTTGTGCTGATTGTTCCAAAGGAAACACAAAGGTAATTTATATAGTTATCTTCTCCTTTGCTAGCCCCCTCTCTCTTCTCTCACATGCCAACTGCAAGCACACGTTGCTTTAAAGTTTAAACACTTGGGAGTGAGTGCCTTATTCTCTATGTTTTTAACAGGTTGGATGCAAAAAAAGATGCATACGATCTTCTTTGGCAGGATGTTGACCGCTTTAGAGGCCATGTATGTTGAACATTCATGTCTTTTTTGTTTTTTTGGTCATTGATGCAACTTCTACCTATTCATCTCCTTGCCATTCTCTTTACTCCTGCAAAAACCATTCATCATCATTGATTTGACGCTGAAATCTTGTTTGCCCTTCTTTTCAGTCCTTTTACCTTCCAGGTTCTGTCGACGATGAAGATAATCAATTAGGACAGTGGAATAATTCTCCGCCTCCCCTCTATTTCTGGAGCCGTTCTGACTGGACCGCAAGGCATAAAAATATTGCTTTGCAGCAAAAGCATATAACAATGGAGGGAATAGACACTCTAGATGAGGTTGGTCACAATGTAATGGCACATGATTTTCTAGAGCTTCAAAATGGTCTCCCTTCAAATGAACCTCCAACTCAAGCTGCTAACCATTGGCATGCCGAATTTACTGAGCAACTGAGAATGTTCGAGAGGTCAGCCCAAGAAAATGAGCAGAAGATATCAGAAGAACCACCATCAGCTTCTCGATCTGAAGACCATGGGATACTCCAGTCTTCCCCTAATTCTGCACGCCAACGAGATGAGGGAAAACCCATGGAGAATGGTTTTCAAAGCCATGGGAGTCATAAAATGAAACCTGCCAATGAAAATCAGTACAGTCGGAGAAATGGAAAGAAACCCAAAGAAGAGCTCGGTCGCAAAGGAGAGGCTCGACAAGGGGAGGGTGAATCTCGACAAAGGGAGGAAGAATCTCGGCAAAGTGAGGGAGAGTGTCGACAAAGGGAAGGAGAGACTCGACAAAATGCAACAGCTCGACAAAAGGAAGGAGAGGTTCGACATTGGGAAGGAGAGATTCGACAAAGGGAATCTGGCAAGGTGTCAATGGGTAGCTCTAATGAGAGGCCCGAAAAAGGCAAGCTCCCGAAGGTTAGCCGAGGTAGTACGGATGAGACCCCTGAACGAGATGAAAGCAGGCGTGGGCTTCAATCTGAGAGGATTTTCGACACGGGATTAACACATTCTTCAAGCATGGTGTCTCCATCTGAGGCAACTGAAATCAATCGACCCTACGAAATGTTTCAAGCTCCAAAAGAGAGAGGGGTCAATGAGGAGAACTTCCATGGATTCAACCGCATAAACACGAGCCCTGAAATTGACTTGGGAAAGAGATATCATCTCAGTACGCCAAATAGTGGGCGGGACGAAAGCATTAATGATATAGCAAGGAGGTACGCTTCTAAGGAAGGCACCTTTGGGAGTGGGTCTCACAATTGGGGTTCATCGGGTGTCCTCTCTGACAAGCAGTTTCACATGCATTCGCCTCTTGGCCTTTCAAGTAGCTTTGATAATCGGTTCCCTGGTTATTTGAGTGGTAACGAAAGAGCCCATGGCTATGTTGGGGGCTCAAAGCAATACATTGATGGGCTAGACGAGCGGTACGGATCAAGTGTCAAGTTGTATGGTGGAGAGATAAGCGATGACTTCTCACTAAGAGGACGGTATCAGGGTGACCGAGATGCTCGACTGGGCATATTGGGAGCTTCTCTCCCTACCTCAGGCACTTCTCTTTCTGACCCGTATGGTATTCAAGGGCGTAATAGTTCAGAGGGAGGTGGTTATCTGAGCTCCTTGGCAACCCAAAGGTATGCACCTAGGCTGGATCAGCTTAACTTTGCTAGGCCCGGGGCCCCAACTATATCCGAAAGCTCGGTTATGGGTGGCTTCTTTGACCCTAGGAGAGAGCCAGTAGCTCAAAACGTGGCCTTTTATGGTGGTTCGATGACGGGCTTTGCGAGTGGACCTCAGCGCCCGCATCAGGGCTCGTCGGGTGGGTGGCTTAACGAGTGAGTCGTTGATCCCCATGTTGTTTGGGATGTATAGTTTTTTGACGTACTGGTTCCTTTTTATTATTGACAGACTTTCGGTTCAGTCATGGTACGTGGACCATTGATTGCACTCCTATGCGATGTTAAATTGCAGTGTTGGTGGGAAAAATTGAAAGGAAAAGGGAAACCAGAACCTGTTTGTTCTGGTCATTCTATTATCTCTTTATGCGTGGTTAATTGGAGTTGGATAGGTGTCTGCCATACAGAGAGAGAGAGAAAGAGAGAGAGAGGAGGGGGTGGGCGGTTGGGTGTTCATTGGCAGGAGGGATTACTTTGTGTGGGTTTTGAAAGAATAGGTGATGGGATTCTAGTTTGACATGGATTGGGGCTGGGGCCTTGGCGACTCCATTCTCTTCAAAAGGTAGGGGCCAAATCCCCACTTTCTTTCTTTGTTTTTTTCTTTTTTTTTTTTCTTTCTTTCTTCTTTTTCTTTTCTTTTTTCTTTTCTTTTTTTTTTTTTTTTTATTTGAGGAGATGGATTGGGGAAAAAGAATCAAAAAATGCATACGTCGTTTTTACAAACTTGCTGAAGTAATTGGAAGTGGAACTTTGCCAAATGTGGCTATGATGCTTACATGCAATGGATATTGTGGTATTCCATTTAATATATTCTTCTGCACAATAAATAAAACCAAAGGCTTTCAAAGAAAATCATCGAGCTTTAATGATTGATAGATGACTATGAATTATTAGCTGAATCCAAATGGCTCGGCTAAGACTCGGATGATGGTGATGAGATGACTATGAATAAGTTTTGATTAAAAAATACGAAATTTATCAAAAAATCACTCATAGGATAAACTCTGAACAAACAAACAAAAAGCATTTTAATAATTTGATCCATCTAAGAGGCTCCATTCAAGGACCGGGGTGTCTTTTTATGTACAAGGTTGGTGAAATTGCTCAAATACCCTTTCTTGTTTGGGGTTTTTCACAAGGTTTGTGGAATCGCTGAAATACCCTTTATTGTGGGGTTTTTCACTCTGAACAGAATTACTGTGTAAATTTGGTTATTTTATAGGTTTCTGGGGTCTTTTATGTGATATTTTCTCAAAGAATAAATGTTTTGTTATATGTTGATATCACGAAACAAGTCCATTAGTTTTAAACTTTTCTATGTAGATCATGAGAAAGACAAATCTATATTTAAATTTACATATAAATTTAGGAAGCTCCTTGACAAAATGCTTCCCACGCCGTCCGATCTTACGAAGTGCCATTTAAATTACTTGAGAAAAATGACAATAATGCCACGAGTTATTCAAGCGTAGTGATAAATGGGATCATCTAACCAAACTTAATGATGTTGTAAGGTGGATTGAGGATTTTACTGATAGTATTCACTGACACATATATACACACAAATGAGTTTTCATTTTCAGCCATTTGATCATGATAGGATGGTTGACGGTGCATTGATGTTTTTAGTTGAATTTATTTTTCTGCAATTCAAATTAAGTTGAAATTTGGGATGTCCACGTCTAGGAAAAATCTATAAAATACTAAAGTGTTTAGCATTTTTCTACAATGGAGAGCTATCATTCTCAATCATTTGATTGGACGGTTTAGAGTCATATTTTGGTCATTTTACCCTGTCTTTTTCTTTTCTTTTTTTTAAAAAAAAAGAAAAGAAAAAAGTGTGCCTTTGTTGGAAGTATGGATGCCCATGATTTTAGTCTAATCTGGCTCTAAGAAAAAAAAAATTAATTTTAAATAATGGTACACACTGCCAATGATCTTATCAGAATCAAGTAATTCAAAGTATGTAGCACTCTATTGCAAAAAGAAAAAAAAAAAACGTGTACCACAATATTTTGTAGGAAAAAGTTTATATATAGTTGTAGCAATATACTATATAAGTAAGGTGAAAAAAATGTTATGAAGTTAGAAAACCTTCCAATTGAACATCTCCACCTTGAGATGTAGAAAAAAAAAAACTTCAAATCCTAAATACATATCTTGTAACAAGTTAGTTGAACTATCTATTTTCAATATTTTCAAGTGTTTGATTTGCACCATTTATAAAATTTTAAATTTCATAATTAGAGTAGAACATAAATTTTCAAGTCATCGTAACATGAAAACTACATTTTATGGCAAAATTTAGAGACATGCCTTGCTTGTATAGCATAAGATGTGTACCTTATATATATATATATGTACATGTATGTATGGTACTAGAGTTTTTGCTTGTTTAGTTATCCATATTATATTATCAACCATATTAAAAAGAGTGTGGTTTGTACAAGGCCGAGACAGTAAACAATCAAAGTAATGTGCAGCTTCAAAGAGTATCAAAATATGTTGTTTCAGTATCAGAAATCTTTATGCTGGCCTAAAAATTGATTTTCTTCTTTGATTATAAAATCTAAAGATTAAAAAATAATATTGATCGAACAAATCTATGAATACTTAAATTTTTTGAAAATTAACCATCTAAATAATTCATTACAAGATATACTATTTATAATACTTAAAATCTAAATTGTGGACTCTTCAGGATCAAAACAACTTTTTTAGTGAATTTTTTATATGCGCCTTAATTTGATTTTTTAGAGCTTCAACCTCATTTAAATATTTTCGTATTAAGAAACCTGACCACTTGTTGAAAAGTGCAAAGGCCAGCAATGGTTGGGGAATGTAGGCATTGAGTGGGTAATGTGACAAAGTTCTAAGGCCATCTGGAGTGCTCATAATACTAACCCACTCCTCCTCCACAAAAAAAAAACAAAGAAAAAGGGTGGAGAGAGAGTCCAACTTGCCATTCAGGAAGAGAGAGAGAGGAGAAAGCTCAAAAAAGAGAGAGAATCCAACAAGCTTAGAGAGAGAAAAAGATGAGAGAGGGGAGAGGTACCCGAGAGAACCAGCCAAGAAGATTGGGCTGGAGTCCAGGAGACGTGCCGTGGAGTGGAGGGATAGAGAGGATATAGATGACAGAGAGAGAGAGAGAGAGAGAGGCTCCATGTGTTTAGAGAGAGAGAGAGGATTCCTATGTTTAGAGAGAGAGAGGATTCATGTGTTTATAGAGAGAGGATTCCTATGTTTAGAGAGAGAGAGAGAGGATTTCTATGTTTAGAGAGAGAGAGAGATGATGCCTGTGTTAACTTGGTCAAAGTTTTTTCACTAGAAAGTGGCTCTCACGACTGCCTCCAGCTCTCCTTTTTATTTATTAAATTAAAAGTAGCTCTCTCTCTCTCTCTCTAAAAGCTCAATGAAATTTAATTTAGTTTAATTGTAACAGAGAGTTTCCATGTGATCCGGACTCCAAACGTGTTTGTAACGCCTCCCAGAGAAAGCTCCATCAGAGGTTTAGAAAGAGAGAGAGTGAGAGCTACATCACTCCAGAGGAGAGAGAGAGATGTTATTAACTAAGACCATAGTGAGGAGAGAGAGAGCTATTTTTGTAACTGAGTGACTGAACATGTCTTTCTGCAACTTGAGAGAGAGAGACTCAGCTGTATAGTGGTTTTTTTCTCACTTCGTGTTTAGAGAGAGAGAGTCCCCAGTGCCATAGTAGGTTTTTTTTCTCACTGCAAGTTGATTTTGCGGTGACCTCAATTAAGGGGCTTTAGGATTTCTTCGCATTGGGTTTTATGCCTTTTACACTTTGGTGGAGGTTCATGTGAGAGGAAGATGGGAAGTGTTTCAAATGGGAAAATGGGTTTTGAGGAGAAGGAAGTGGATGAAGAAGAGGAGAAGCTAAGCAGGCAACTGTGTGAAGTTTCATTACATGGGACTGAAACAAATGAGCATGAAGAAGAAGAGGAAGAAGGAGAAGAAGAAAATCAGGACCACAAAGATGGGGAGTCTTTTAAATTGGGTCCACAATATTCTCTCAAGGAGCAGCTAGAGAAGGACAAAGTAAGCCTAAAGATTGATTTTTATTTTTATTTTTATTTTTTTAATTTCTCTTCTGTTATATTATCTGTTTTTTACCTTTATTTCAAATTTTTCTTTATTTTCTTATTTTTATTTTTTGGGGGTTGGGAAGATGAGTGTTTGAAGAGAACAGAAGAGTAGTTTTTTCTCAAAATTTTCTGAGTTGGTTTATTTTGGGGTTTTAGGAAGATGAGAGTTTGAGGAGATGGAAAGAGCAGCTGCTGGGTAATGTGGATTTGGAATCAGTTGGAGGTACTCTCTCTCTCTCTCTCAGATTGCACGGAAAAAATTACCATATGGGTTTGGAATTTTAGAGAGATAAAGATCATGGTAGGCAAAATTACCTGGTTTTGGAATACTAGATATTGTTTTTATTTTCATTTGATGACCTTCTGATACTTACCTTTAAGTGGATATGGGTGTGTTTTTCACTTTTGGTTTTAAGTTTTTGTCTTATGGATATTGCTCAGAAACTTTGGAAGCAGAGGTTAAGATTGAGAGTGTTTCTATTCTCTCTCCTGGTAGACCCGATTTGGTGCTCCCCCTCCCTATGCTTCCCAACTCAAAGAGGGGCTCCTCATGGTTTACTCTCAAGGAAGGTAGTCGCTATAGACTCAAGCTGGCGTTCATGGTCTCCAACAACATAGTCTCTGGTCTCACCTACACCAACACTGTCTGGAAAACCGGGGTAAAAGGTACCATCTAACAAAACCTCTCTCTCTCTTTCCTCCCCCCACCCCAAAAAAAAAAAAAAAAAATCCAAATCTTCAACTCTGTTGCTCCTAGTGTTAAAAAAATTGCCAAGCTGGCGGCTTCAAGCGGCCCGAGCTGGATCGGAACCAGAGGGGGACCAGTCCGAGTCACTGTGCACCCCTGAAAACCATTATTTGGATGAGACTTAAATGTAAACTTTAGTCTAAGATTTAACTTGACACTACAATGGATTTCAAGACCAAACAGTAATTCACCTTGGCGACCGAGCCGTTTCTAAATCAGTTCTTCGATCCTAAATTTAGTTCCATGGTGAAATGCCTGCAAGTTCCCTCCTAATCTTCTATTTTGTTCTTCTTTCAAAATTAAATTCAATTCCAAGTTGGAATGCTTGCAAGATAAAGAGAGAGAGAGCTTGTAATGGACTGACGTTGCAATGGCATTTCAGTGGACAGTACAAAATTGATGATGGGAGCATTCGGTCCTCACCAACAGCCCTACACACTTGAGATGGCTGAGGAAATTACACCTTCTGGCATATTCGCAAGGGGTTCCTACTCCGCAAGGACTCGGGTAATATACAATCACCACCATAACCATATCAGCTCCTATCTCTGTCTTTGCACCATTAGCATTCCTACATTTTCTCGCTCGCTTTCCATCTTTTCGATCTTTCCCTTGTTACTGCATTGATTTCTCTTTCTTCTTATGCTGTGTTCCAGATCATTGATGATGATAACAAGTGCTATTTGGAGCTGAATTACACATTTGATATTCGAAAGGAATGGGCAGAACCAAGTTGAAACCCACATCACTGAAAGGTATATTCATCTTCAAATTCAATTGCCTGGTGTGTCGAGAGAGAGAGAGATTGCTAACTGTAACTAAAATTGATTGTGATTCAAAATATTTCCTTGAATGGGTTTACATCGTGTGGACCCCTTAATGGAACCAGAGACTGATGCTCAAACTCATATCTAATTCAAAGGTTTTCCTCCTCAACAGATCCACTTCATGTTGAACATCATGTTATCAGCACTGATGCCACATGACAGAAGCAAAAGAAAATGAGCAAATGCAAAGTAGATAGAGAAAACACCATTGATGGGTTAGGACTATTCGTACTTGGTTCTTTTGTATTTCAGCTGTTTAATATTCACTTAAGAATTTGTATATTAGTTTGTTGAAGAGAAAAGGTGTTGTATGTGCAAGTTGGGTGCCTCCATGTCTCTTACTCCATGACCGAAGAAGTTGAGCCTGATCTACACTGCAATTTCTACTTTTTCTCTCCTCTTAATTCCCAAGAAAAGGATTCACACTCTTGAGGGTTTCTCACTCTTTTCTTTTTACTGTTGTTTTCTTGTTAATCTGTCTCTCTTTTTGCGGCTTCATGAACTCATACCTTAACGACTGGATGGGGCCCTTATGCCCTAATCACCAATATTTAGATGGAAATTTAGGCTACAACCGACAAGGGATAAATAATATTTGGGATTTTATATGACGAGATTATTTAGTTTTTATCTAAGTAGGTCACAATTATTGTTAGCCATTAGAAGTGAGTGGTTTACAACATTCAATAAATTTTGTTTTAGACTTTGTGCCCAATGGCACTTTCTCAACCACCCTATTTAACATCCAACATATAATAATGATAGAAGCATATCCTTGCACAAAAATAAAGCGAAAATTACGTAAATATTCGTCATATATGTTATTATTATGAAAATATCTAAAACTTTTTGTTATTACATAATGTCCGTTTTTCAACTTACAACACTTTTTTTTAAAAAAAAGAAGAAATTGCCCATTTTTTGTTTTGAAAAACAGAATTTTTTTAATTTTTGGTTTCTCAAAAACCGAAGTTTTTTAAATTGAAAAATCAAAATTTTTGAAAATTTGGTTTTTGAAAAACCAAATTTCAAAAATCGAATTTTTAAAATATCAATATTATGTATGACCAAATATTTAAATGTGGGGTTGAATCGGGTTTTTGGTTATCATGCATACCTCTACACTTTCGTGTCAAGCGTACGAATCTCCTTATATGCAATCTAATTTTTTTTAATAAAAAATGGATGTTTTTTATTCTATTAAAAATTAAAAAAAAAAAGCCCAATCATTAAATGGGCGTGGCTTTTCGGTTATCATGCTTCTACACTTTTATGTTAAAGGTTCAAATCCCTCCATATGCAATCTAATTTTTTCAATAAAAAATAGATTTTTTACGTCAAGGGGTCAAGTCCCTCCTCATGCAATCTAATTTTTTTCAATAAAAAATGGATTTTTATTTTATTTTATTAGAAAGCAAAAAAAAAACCATCATGGAATGGGCACGATTTGATACCAAAACCTCTTAGAGAAAATAATACGCTTTTACCAATGCACTATTTGATAGTGTTAAAAATTGATATCATGTTATATATATCTTATTTTAAATCGAAAATGAGCAATTTTGTCCTTTTTTTAAAAAAAATATATTACAAAGTTGAAAAAACGGATATTTAAGTAATAACATAAAGTTGGAGGTATTTTCATAATAAAATATAACAGATATTTATGTAATTTTTCCAAAAATAAATGGTCTCATTGTATACATTTCCATAATATTTAAAGCATGTTAGAATTACCAAATTACGTCGATAATTGGCTGTTTTAATAACATTAATTTATAGTGAATTATTTGTTGTTTGGTAGTGCTCATTAGAAAGTTATCTCGTATAAACTTGTAACCAATTTTACATATATGTTTATCTTTTATTTTTACTTTTTACTTTATTCAAAGTACTTAGTTGATGGTCACATATTTTTAGCCAGAATAAACTAACCAAAAATCACCAAAAAAAAAAATTGAATGATTAAATAAATTGTATATAACATAAGATACACTCTAAACAACTAACAAAAATAATATTATCCAAAGTATATTAATTTCAGATAAAACAATATATTCCAAATAAATATACTTACCCAGGCCTTAGAACATGGCAAAATTTTGGATTTCCCATATTCACTTCATCGAACTGAGTTCAGTCATTTAGAACATTCTTTTGTCAACAACAAAAAATGGACACGCCGTGCAGGGAGGAATTTTTTTACCTGAAATTTTGTGATCCATTTTAGATTAACCAGATGACGATTTTCATAAAACCGCAAAGGATTTTGTGTTCCTAAATATTTAGATCTAATTGTCTGGAAATTTGACCTCTATGTAATATTAGGACATTAGTTTCTCTAGCAAATATAAGGTGCTTATCAATCTATTTGAGTTTTGGGGTTGTCACCGAGTTGAGGAGATTGCATATGTAAAACTTAAAGACCTTAAAAGGACTTTTTTTATAGGGTTTTATCCAATGGTTTAAAAAGCGGATCGATGATTCAGATCGGGTATCTTAAAAATCGATCCGGATCGGGAAATAGACGATTCGGAACGGGAATCAGTTGAATCGGTCCGATTAATACTTCAAGAAAATCCGAAAAAATTATTAAAATTCATTATAAATATTTTTTTTTAGGAATCCAATAAGAAATGAAGGTACTACATCATTAACTTTCATTTTTTCCATCAATTTATGAATATTGAGATGCTCTTTCCCTGTATAAACTTATGTTAACCACTAAATTTACATCACATAAAAGAAAAATCATAGAATTATCATAGATAAAATGTATAATTATACATGGACTATTATAAAGAGTAGACTAATCAACGAAAGAATGGCCATTAAAATCTCGTTTTGGTGAAAAACCCTAATCCGCTAAAAAAATCCAAATTATTACAACTCAGTATAATACAAAATTATTAAAACCTAACTAATTATAATATTATATACTGAAATTATAATTATTAGTTTACATTTTATAATTATTTTATTGGACAACTAATAACAAATTAAAAATATTTTATAATATTATCTAATTTAAAATGTATTATTGACAACTCTAAGAAAAATAGTACATTACATGATTTATAATGTAAAAATTAATAAATAAAATAAAAGATTTGGTTATCAATGTAAAAATTAATAAAATGCATACAAATTTTGGAAATAACACTTTAATTTTTCAACAATTTATTTTTTTAGGTTTCTATAATAAATTTAGTGAAAGAGATTGTTAGTAGAAAGATGGAGATTTCAAATAGAACAAACTTTTTATGTTTTATTTTTTTATGCCTTTCATATTATTTTTAAAAATAATTATACCACTATATACAACAAAAATTAACTGCTATACAAAACATTACCTTTCTTATTTTTCAGTTTTTTATGCTTTTTATATTATTTACAAAAATATTTATATAATATATACAACAAAAACTATACTACACAAAAAAATAAAGCCCACGGGGGGACTCGACCATGAGAGGTCACATGAAGAAGCAAAAGTCTTAACCACCACGCTACCTCACCATATGTGGTTATAATTTGATGATTAATAGAATATATTTAAATTCCCCGTTCATTTAATGATGTTTGGGAATTATCCCACATCGAAAGATGAGTATTCCACTTTGGTATATAAATACCTATGTAATATAAATTAAAATGCTTGTGTAGAAATATTGGGGTAACCTCACACGTGTCGCACGCGTGCTCACATGTGTCGCATGCGTGCACATGGGCTGAACCGGACGGAACCTGATTGGAACCGATGGTTCTTCTCTAGAACCGGGCGGTTCTCGGTTTTGTATTGGAACCGACACGTGCTGTGCCGGTTTGACTCGGCTCGCCGATTTTTAAAACACTGGTTTAACCCAAGGGAATTGTCCACCCCAAGAATTTACAATACTGTTATTCTTGAGATGTGACAGACAAAACATATATACATCTATTGATATGAAAAATTTACAGTGGCGAGGTCTTATAAAGTAAATAAAGAAAGCTAGCACAACAACAGTATCTTCCAAGGTTGATCTTGACTAGCACTCAAAATGAATCCGTAGTTATCCTGAAAAAATGTTTACCATAGTTTGATGAGTTTGGCTACTCAGTAAGTGATCATCATAATCCTAAAAATAATCATGATTGAAAGATATCAATATTTTCCAAAATGAGATCTATTAACAGAAATGCATCAACAGTTTTACTTTCAATAAATGCATAATTAAGTATAATCCGAGTAATTGAAATGCTTATAACATTTTTAACGGCAGTGTATAATTCAAAGGATTTCACAAAATACCCTACTGGCGTCCCAAGTAGGTCACCTATATACCCCATCAGCGTCCTGATGGGTCCACTTAATCCCTATCGGCGTCCCAGATAGGTCCACTTAATCCCTGCAGGTCCACTTATACCTCACCGACGTACCGGATGAGTCCACTTAATCCCTACTGGCGTCCCAGATAGGTCCACTTATACTTCACCGGCGAACCGGATGAGTCCACTTGCATACTTAAATTATTTCTAAATCTCTTTAAACATTCAAAAGCAGCAATATCATGTACTCAACATATCACTGAAATCATTAATATGAATTTCACTTAAACCATTAATAACAGTCACTCTCTATAACATTTCAAAAATAACCAATCAAATATTTTGGGCTCAAATTTAGAAAGGTAACAGTTT